GACAGATTAATTAGGAGAGCATAAAAAACAATGTATTTCTAAAAACTAATTAAAATAATAGAAAGAGAGGAAATGATATGTGAGATGACACATGGGATAAAAAAAATACTTGAGACGTCAAAATTTTATTAGTCAGCATATAAATGAGGTCGCACAGTAGGTTTATGCAAGAATTTCTCAGCTAACAGTGTACACGCGGTGACGACAAGGAATCAAACTCAGCTGCTGACTCTGTATATAGAAATATATATATATATATTGATATGTATATGTATAATGTACATCGCATAATGATTGATGACTAGAATTTAGAGAGAAAAAGTTAAGAAGAATCAAGCTAGAGAAAAGCTAATAATCCGAATGAATGCACGTAAATCAATCTATCCATGTTAAATAGGATAGCCCAATAACTCTGATGAATGCAAATTAACCCTCACAACTAATGACAACAATAAAACGGGATGGAGTTAACCTAACTAGAAAATAATAAGGAATTATCCTAACTATGAAATCCCAAAACAGTTCACACGTACACACACAGGGGTAAAGTTAGAATAACATTCTATCTTAATATATAGGGAAAATTGTAACAAAGTCCCACCAAAGAGAATTAAATACAAAAAATTCCCTTGAAATCATCAAATTATTCTGAAGTCTCAAGGAAACCAATTGCAAGAGAATTCATTTGTTTAATTACCAAATTACGCTTATTTTTTTAAATTTACATTGACAACTAAAAGAGTAGTCGTTGACAACTTAAAGTGTAAGGATTAACAACTATCGTGGCAGGTATTAATAACTCATACATTACATTTTGTTATATGCTGAGAAAATGTGTTGTAAATATCTACCGTGATAGTTGTTATACCTTACACTTTAAGTTGTCAACGACTATTTTTTTAGTTGTTAATACAAATTTAAAATAAAAAATAAAAGCAATTCGATAATTAAACAAAAAAATTATTGCAATGAGGTCCCTTGAAACTTTAGATTAATTTGATAATTTCAAGAAACATTTTTGTATTTATTTTCCTTAGGTGGGACCTTATTGTAATTTTCTGTAATATATATATAGTTTCATACAAATTGATACAATAAAATATGTTGATATCATAATATGACCAATAATGTATTTTTATTTTTATTTTTATTTCATAACCACTTTCAGCATTTTCTTCCACATCTCATAATAATTTTGTTCAATGAATAATTAATAGGCATTTATTCACATGGTTTCTAGCCATATTATAGAATTGCTCATATATTTTATTAAAAAATTTGGTTAAAAGTCTCTATTTGAAAACTTAATAGGCTAAAATGATCTAAATTTAAGTGAGTATAACTATAATTCGTGAGTACAACCTTTTTTGACTACGTGCAACATATCATTAATGATGTGCAATAATCGTTAATACGAAAGTGATTTGCACACAACAGAAGATATGTTGCACATAATGAAAAAAAGTTACACTCATGAATTGTAGGTGCATATGCTTGAATTGAGGTCCATTTAGCCAATTAAGTTTTTAAATAAGAGATTTTTTTACCAAATCTCCCTATTTATTTGAATGATGATGACAAAATACCAGTATTTCAATCATTATGGCAAGAAATTATTTTTCTTGCAATAATAGTCTTGACAACATGACAAATTACTACTCTTCATGTTCTTATCACAATGACTTCCATCATATTTCATTATATTACATGTTTTATTTAAATCATTAATTTTTCCACCCGGTATTTCTAATTAAATATAAGACTTCCGCTCTAATAAACCAAACTCCCCTAACTAATAATTTTTATTAAAAGTAACTTCGATATTGTATAAGAAATAACTAATTTTAATTAATATTATATATAGTCCTTTGCAGGATTTTGCGTACGGCATTGGATTCTTAAGATATATATGATCTAAAATTTTTGTTATTTACGTAGGAAACTAGATTAGATGTGCCTCTAGTTATTTACCTGATTCGTTGATTCTGTTGGGTTAGAGCGTTTTGTCGCTCGGGAATGAGTCTGTGCTTTAGATTAATTAATCCATACACACACAGACAAATACATTCTTACAATATTAATTTGGTGAGTCGACTTAGTTGACTCGCTTCCCAGCTTGAAATCATTATTGACATATCCAATTTCATTATGGACAACCCAAGGTTCAGTAATCGAATCAAGCATTGCATTTATATGGTCAGCTGACGGTTAAGATTAAGCTTTTGAAATTAAGAATATAGATAACATATCAAAAAGTTACCTTAATCGAAGGTAATCCATGCATGAGATTAATTATGGATGAAAAGAGGGTAGGTGGTTGAAATATAATTAAGAATAGATAAAAGCAATGCATAGGATAGGAGGCAGTGCAGCACAGCAAACAAAAACTTGTGTATTTTGCTAAAAAAAATTGCTAGATACATAATTTTAAGTAAATGTGTTAAAAAAAACTTGAAATTATGAAATTAACAATTTTTAATTAAACAAGGTTGAAACTTTGAAAATACAAGTATTAAAATTCTTTTTTAGGATACAAGTATTTGAAAAGTTTTAAAATAACATTTCTGTTATAGAGGCTTTTTCTGGTCCAAATCTTCTCAGTAAATTAGCTCTATATTAGGTTTTTGAGTCACTCTAATATTTATTATTTATTATTTGTAAGATTTTTTTTATATACCAAAAAGAGTATTAAATAGATAAAAAATTTTATTTTTACTGTTATTAAAGAGATATATATGTAGGAAAAAAATGTGATAAGTGATAGTATATTTTTTCTCACTCATTCTCCCTCTCTTCACCTTTATTATAACATAATTGAAAATGACACATTAAAAAAGTGCAAATGACAGAACCAAAATTCCCTCTTATAAATAACAAATACTAATGACTAGAGTGATATTTTATATGCATTTGTAAATGATTTTTTTTTACTAAATTATAAATAAAATAAGAAATATTATAATATTTTATAATAATAAAAATGATAGTACAATTTAATATTTTTACTTTTTTAAAAATAAAATTACGTCAAAGAAATGTTGGCATCTTTCAAATTTTTAGGCCGTCAAAGTTTTTATTTGACGGTGCCCATCCTACTGCCTAGATTGGGTGCCCTTTATGTCAGCCTTCTTGAGCCACTGATATTCCTCCGCACACATGGCAAACAGTTGTATAATTTCAACAATATTTATTTTTAAAAATAGACAATAATATAATATACAAAAAGATATTTGAAAAAAAAAATAAAGACAATGCGCTGGTGTAGAAATTATAGGACTGTTTTTGTCTGCTCTGATCATATTGAGGTTATTAATTTTTTTTGATCCTGCACACCTTTTTAGAAACTTTGTTGATGAAGCTAGATTACTTTTTTTGTAACAATCAGCAGGAGACGGTTAACTATACTCACAGGGAAAATAATTCTATTGTTGATCACCTTACCAAGTTATCACATAGGATGAAAGAGAATTATTACATCTTTGATCACATTCCAGCTTTCTCAATGTGATATGGATGTTGATAAAAGAAGCCATTTTTTCTGTTTTTAACTTTGACTTTGTTTTTTTAATGATTAATGAATATACAGTTTCTATTTAAAAAAAAAACACAAAATGAAATATAAATTTTATATATAATCATAACTAAATATTTTTCCCTCGATCGTTCAATACAAGAGAGAAATGATAACCAAATCAAGAGGTTAGTAAAAACACATTATACTTGTCTTTCTTGCATTTCAATAGAGAAGTATTGAGAGGAATAAAAACAAAGGAATTTGCGTGGTTGCATGATTAAAAATATGCAGGAAAATTTACAAAAATGAAAATAATGCATGAAGCTGAAAAGAATTATCATATTTATATGTATCATCTATAAGCTATAAACTGTATGATCATCTCTGTACTATTGATCTTTTATAAAGGTATTAATAATCACTACTATAAAAAAGATCTATTTTCATCTTTTATTTTTATCTGAAATTGAGAACAGAGAAAAAAAAGTATCTTATACTCATTCGTTAAGCTAAACTAGACAAGTACATGGCCTCATACTTGTCTGTTAGGCCAAAACAGATGAGTATGGGGCCTCATACTCGTTTGTTCAGGGCTAACAGATGAGTATGAGGCTCACATACTAAATGATATTGTGACAATTTTAAATGAGATATTAAATAATTAGTTTTTTAAGAAATTCGATTTGAATTTAAACAAAGAAATTGAATTGAATTTTAAGAGAAAAGAAGGCTGCAAGCAAGGACCGAGTATAGGACCTAAAAAACCTAGGGCACTAATAGGAATTTAAAATGAGTTTTGATATCTTATAACAAAATAAAGTTAAAAAAATTGACTCGTCGTCGGTGGGAAAAACAAATGTTTCTTTCCAAATTTTATGTTCTTAAAGAAAGAATGTCGGAAATTATGAGATTATCATGTTCACCCTTGTCATACATGAATAACCCACCTCAACGTATAAAGGGTTAAAAGCCTAAAACCAACCAGGAGTTAACAAGAAGAAAATATATGCGGATGGATCCAAAAGCTTATGCAGCATCGAGTTGGAGTTGATCCTTCTTCCATTGTGAAGGGGCAATTCCTTTAACGTCGCTCTTTAGGGAAACTCAAGAGCCCCCACATTATTCATTGGAAAATGAAGCACACAATTGTTAATACAACTTCTGCATGCTTATATATATAGGTCTGTATGTATGTGTGTATGTATATGTACACACACACCTGTATTCAATCAGTGCAAGGACTCGCGAAGCTTCATCATGGCTTTTCAACCATTTCTTAAGCAACATTTTTCCGATGAAGCAAATCAAAGCCTCTACTTGTCTCTCTGCTGCTTCATCACCCTTGTGTTAGCTTTCAAGCTATCAAGAGGAAAGCAATACTCCAATCTGCCTCCATCTCCTGCAAAACTTCCTATTATAGGCCATCTTCATCGGCTGGGTCCTCTTCTCCACCGATCCTTCCGTGACCCCTCTCCTTCTGCTGCAAATGGGTCAAATTCCAACCCTGGTCGTGTCTTCTGCAGATTTAGCCAAACAAGTCCTGAAAACCCACGACATAGATTTCGCAAACAGAGGTCAAGGCGCGGCTGCCAGAATTATATTCTATGGATGCAAGGACATATTCGCCTCAGACTACGGTGAAAACTGGAGACAGAAGAGGAAACTGTGTGCGCTTCAACTCTTGAGCTTGAAGATGGTTCGATCGTTTCAGTTCATAGGGGATGATGAAATCCAAGATTTGATCAGTAACATAAGAGAAACCTACTGGAGAAGCAATGGAAGTTGCTGCGTGATCATGAGTGAGATGCTAAGTGCAGCCTCTAACAACATAATTTGCAGGTGTATTATCGGACACAAATTTGAAACAAAAGAGAGCAGTAGGCTCGGGAATTTGGCAAGGAGAGAGATTATTCTCTTGGGGATATAAGTTTGGGAGACTTGTTTCCTTTGTTGAGCTCGGTTTATTATGTGACAGGGAAAGTGAGGGAGTTTAAGGGTATGTTTGGCTCAATGAGAGGAAGGGGAGGGGAGGGATTTTAATGGAGGGAAGGAGAGAGGAGAGTGGAAGGATTTTAATATTATCTTGTTTGGATTTATAAAAAAAGAGGGGAGGGGAGGAAAAAATATTTTAATATGGATAATTTTGCTCTTATTTTATTTAAAATATGGGCATAATAGTCACAACATGACAAAATATGGATATAATGGTCACAACATGACAAAATATTGTCCTTTCCCTCCAAATCCTCCTAATTTTGGAGGAGAGGTTGAGAAGGGGAGGGGAGAGAAAATTTTTACTAAAATTTGTGTGTTGCCAAATAAAGAGAAATGATTGAAATCCCTCTCCTTCCCTCCCCTCCCACCCAAATCCCTCATACCAAACACATCCTAAGGGAAGTTTCGCAGAACTGGATCGTTTCTTCGATGAGGTGATCGCAGAGCACAAGGAAGCGAAGAAGGATGATGATGATGAGAGGAAAGACTTCGTCGATATTCTTCTCCAAACTGGTCATCAACTTGACTTTGAGTTGGATCAGGATAGCTTCAAAGCTATCCTAATGGTAAGATCAAGTTATTACTTTTGCAAAGTAGTTGAGAATTTATATGGACTTAATTAGTACTCCCCTGGCTCCCCATTAGAAGGACTTTTAGCATGTCTCATATAAAATAACATGTCCTATCTAGAGTGATAATTTTTTTCACTGAATACCCTAATAATTTATATAAAAATTTCTAACTAATGGAAGAAACTCGTCTAACATAAAAAAAGACTGAGACTCTAAGTGGGGCGTTTAATTATAAATTTCAGGATATGTTCTTAGCAGGAAATGACACAACTTCAACAACTATGGAGTAGGCAATGTCGGAACTGACGAGTCATCCATTTACCATGGAAAAAGTGCAGAAAGAAATAAGAACAGTGGTGGGAAGCAAATAAAAAAGAGAGGAATATGATATTAACAAAATGCAATTCTTGAAATGTGTCATCAAAGAAACCCTAAGATTACACCCACCCCTTCCTTTATTGACCCCTCGCAGAACAAATAAACATGAAGAGGTAGGAGGATATGATGTTCCTGCTGGTTTAAGAGTGAGGAACAGTAAAATATACGGAGCAAAGAGGGAACACGAGAAGGTGCAGAGGTAATTTCGTTTTGCTGTTTCTATTGCATAAGAAAAATACTGATTACATTGGAATTTAAAGACAAAAAAAAACTGACTTTTCTGAAAAATAAATTAACAGAAATAAAAAAATCAAATCCATTCCTAAGTTTCAGCTACCCATTATCCCATTTTCCTGCAGATTGTGGAGTCCGAGATTTTAGCATATCACTTCCTAACTTCCAGTGGCCCACTCTTGCAAGACGTTGAGTCTGTTTCAGAGATTTGTGGGAGTTACTTCCGAGATCTCCTCCAACACGTTTTGAATCAAATCTCCAACACTCCCCCTTGATTCAAAATCGCTGACTCCAAGTAAGTTTCTAAGATACACGTGTCTCTGAGTTGGTGGAGCTTTAGTGAGGATATCTGAAAATTGAACTTCAGTGCTGCAATATTTCATAATTAATTCGCCTTTTGCAACCAACTCACGAATGTAATGAAACCTCAGATCTATGTGCTTGGTTCTTCCATGAAACACTGGATTTTTTGTCATTGCTATAGCTGATTTGTTGTCACAAAACAACTCAGTTCCTTCTTCTTGCTTTTGCTGCAAATCATCTAACATTTTCTTGAGCCAAACGCATTGACTTGCTACGGTAGTTGCTGATATATACTCTGCCTCTGCTGTTGATAGAGCTACAGTGGCTTGTTTTTTTGACATCCATGTTATTGCTCCTGAACCCAAGTTAAAAATATTTCCAGATGTGCTCTTCCTGTCATCTAAAGAGCTTGCCCAATCACTGTCACTAAATCCAGTCAACTTAAAATGAGTTATAGGAGTATACCAGATTCCATAGCCTACTGTTCTAGCAATATATCTCAGAATTCGTTTTGCCACACCATAATGCTCCTTTGATGGATTGCACATGAACCTTGACACAACACCTACCGAAAAAGATATATCCGGTCTTGTGTGTGTTAAGTACATTAAACCACCAACCAAGCTTCTGTACAGCTTTTGGTTCACTTTTTCAGCTCCATCTTCTTGCTGCAACTTTTGTTTTAGATTCATTGGAGTAGCTTTTACAGTGCAATTAAGCATATTAAACCTTCTCAGCAACTCTGTTGCATATTTCTTTTGACAAACAAAAATTCCAGCTTTGTCTTGCACAATCTCTAGGCCCAGAAAATAATGTAAGAAGCCTAAATCTGTCATCTCAAACATGTTCATCATGTAGCCTTTAAATTCTTCTAATAAGGACAGATTAGAGCCCATATAAATTATGTCATCTACATATAGGCAAACAATCATAAAGTCAGTACCTTGCTTCTTTATGTAGAGAGTAGGCTCATTCTCACTTTTTTCAAATCCATTCTGTTGAAAGTAAGAATCAATCTTGCTGTACCATGCCCGGGGAGCTTGTTTTAAGCCATAGAGTGCCTTGTTCAACTTATAGACTTTCTCCTCCTTTCCTTGAATCTCAAAACCTTCAGGTTGTGCAACATAAACCTCCTCTTCGAGGTCTCCATTCAAGAATGCAGATTTCACATCTAGTTGGTACACCGTCCATTTGTGTTGGGCTGCTAGTGCTAGGAGAAGTCTCACTGTTTCAAACCTTGCAACAGGAGAGAATGTCTCTTCAAAGTCAACTCCTTGTTGTTGAGAGTATCCCTTTGCCACCAATCGAGCTTTGTACTTTTGAATGCTTCCATCGGCATTAAGCTTTGTTTTAAAGACCCATTTTAGCCCAATCACATTTTTACCTTTTGGTAAATTTGTCAGCTCCCATGTTGAGTTCTTTTCTATGGCTGCAAGTTCCTCTTTCATGGCCTTCATCCACACTTCTTCTTTTGCTGCCTCTTGATAAGCAATAGGATCTGAAGCTAGCATGACAAATTCATCATTTTCATAGATCTCTCTTAATGATCTAAATCTCCTTGGGGGTGTCTCATTTGATGATTCACTAGCTGAGCTTGTGCTGCCTCTTGATGGTGTTGCTGGACTGCTACTAGCTGAAATGATTGGAGTTGATGGATTAATTGAGGTTGTGGTTGTCTCCTCAATTAATGGCATCCGTAGTGGACTTGCACTGCTGTTTGTATCATTTTCACCCCAATTCCAGCTTGCATCTTCATTAAATAATACGTTTCTGCTAACAATTATCTTTCCATCAAGAGGATCATGCATCTTATATGCCTTAGACTCAGAACAATAGCCAATAAAAAATGCATTTATGAGACTTTTCATCAAGCTTTTGGCGATGTTGAGAATTAACTAAGACATAAGCAATACAACCAAACACTCTTAAATGGCTTACAGTGGGCTTTCTCCCTTTCCATGCTTCATATGGGGTACAATCTTGCACTGCTTTTGTTGGGGAGAGATTTAACAAATAAACTGCCGTTGCTACAGCCTCTGCCCAATAAGAATCTGGCATTCCTTTCCCTTTCAGTAAGCTTCTTGCCATTTCCACCACCGTTCTGTTCTTGCGTTCTGCTACACCATTCTGTTCTGGTGTGTATGGTGCTGTCAGTTCACGTTGTATCCCATTCTCTTCACAAAAGTGGATGAATTCATTTGAGAGAAATTCTCCACCTCTGTCTGTGCGCAGAACTTTAATGCTTGCTCCACTTTGCTTCTCAACCATGGCTTTGAACTTCCTAAAATTCTCAAATGTTTCTGATTTGGCTTTTAGGAAGTACACCCAGCTCATCCTGCTAAAATCGTCAGTAAAAAGAAGAAAGTAGAAGCTGCCACCTAATGATTCTGTATTCATAGGACCACACAAATCAGCATGTACAAGTTCAAGACTTTCATTAGCTCTCCATGCTTTTCTGATAGGAAAGGATTTTTTTCTTTGCTTCCCATATATACATCCTTCACATATGCCAAGTTCAATAATTTTTGGTAAGCCATAAACCATACCTTTCTTCTCCAACAGTTGCAACCCATTGATATTTAAGTGTCCATAGCGCAAGTGCCACAGCTTGGACTCATCTTTCTCACCAACCAAGAAGGCATACTGCTGCATAGCCTTGATATCAAATGAGAACATTCTATTTCTGGTCATCGGTATCCTTGCAACCACTTGATTTGACTCCTTATGTCTAATGACGCATTCTCGATTGTCAAATAAAACGGAGAAGCCACTCTCCATTATCTGACCTATGCTCAACAGGTTATGTGCCAAGTTAGATGCAAGTTGAACATTTTCTATGTATTTAGTTTTACCTGGAGCATATTCAATGGCTACTGTCCCTTTTCCTTCAACCTTCATTTCTGTATCATCTCCAAGTTTCACTATCTTCTTTTGAGTTTCATCAAGTTGTTTGAAGATGGCTTTGCTCCCAGTCATATGGTTTGAACAGCCGCTGTCCACAAACCAGACTTCACCTTTTTCTACAGTTGGGTCAGTGTACGCCATGAATAATTTTGATTTATCATCAGTTACCTTAGCAAAACTTGCTTGCTTGTCATTGAACCAGCAATCAGCTTTCACGTGCCCATATTTTTTGCAATTATGGCACTGAATGTTGCTTCTATTGTTGTAGCCAGATCTGCCACCTCCTCTACCACGATTATTGGAGTTTCTACCTCTGCCTCCTCTACCTCCTCTGCCTCTTCCACGACCAGTACCTTTTTCATTCTCCTTTGGACTTTCTCCTTTGGCTTGAAATGCCTTTTCTTCATTCTTAGCCTCCTTTTTATTGATTCTTGCCTCATGTGATTGTAGTGAACCCATCAACTCATCAAATGAATAAGTTGACAGATCCTTAGACTCCTCAATTGCTGCAACAACATGGTCAAATTTAGGAGGTAATGATCTTAATACCTGAGTCACCACCATTTTTTCTGGCAACTCATCTCCAAATGATCTTATCTGATTGACCATTGCTGCCACTTTGGTCATATATTCCTGCACTGATTCTATATTGTTCATTTGCAGAGTCTGGAACTCACGATGTAAGGTCTGCAACTTGACCCGAACAACTGTTGATGAGCCATGGAAGGATGTTCGAAGAATTGCCCAAGCCTCCTTTGCTGTTGAGGCTGCAGCAATTTTAGAGAAAATCGAGTCATCCACTGCTTGCTGGATGAAGAACAATGCCTTCGAATCTTTTTTCTTATTCTCCTTTAGTCTGGCTTCCTCATCAATCTCACTGTAGCCATTCTCTACCAAGTCCCATAGCTCTTGAGACTTGAAGAGTGTTTTCATTTTGATGCTCCAAAACTCATAGTTTTTGCCTTTGAAGATGGGAATGGAGGGCTGGGAAGCATTCACTGAGTTGTTGTTGTTAGCTGCCATCTCATCCAAGTCTGACCGGAATTGCTCTGATACCAATTTGCTGGTTTAAGAGTGAGGAACAGTAAAATATACGGAGCAAAGAGGGAACACGAGAAGGTGCAGAGGTAATTTCGTTTCTGCTGTTTCTATTGCATAAGAAAAATACTGATTACATTGGAATTTAAAGACAAAAAAAACTAACTTTTCTGAAAAATAAATTAACAGAAATAAAAAAATCAAATCCATTCCTAAGTTTCAGCTACCCATTATCCCATTTTCCTGCAGATTGTGGAGTCTGAGATTTTAGCATATCACTTCCTAACTTCCAGTGGCCCACTCTTGCAAGACGTTGAGTCTGTTTTAGAGATTTGTGGGATTTACTTCCGAGATCTCCTCCAGCACGTTTTGAATCAAATCTCCAACAGTTCCTCCCAAGACAATGGTGTTTGTGAATACGTGGGCAATTCAGGGGGACCCTCGAGTCTGGGAAAGTCCTGAAGAGTTCGTTCCAGAGAGATTTGAACAGAGGGAGATTGATCTCAAAGTACAAGACTTTGAGTATATCCCATTTGGTTCAGGAAGAAGGATATGTCCAAGGATGGCCTTTGGGCTGGCTTCCATTGATTACGAACTCGCCAATCTTCTTTACTGGTTTGACTGGAAGCTGCGTTCTTCCGCGTGTGATGTGGATATGGGCGAGACATTTGGGCTCGTCGTCAAAAAGACAATGCCACTCTGTCTTCAACCAAAACCCTACTTGCTTCCTATGTAGTAATATGTTGGTGTTTCTGTTTGTTCTTGTGATATGATGTGCGAAAACCTAAATAAAATCTGACGCACATTGTTTAATTTGAGGTTTGTGTTTAAATTGAAAATTTCATCTTTTGTGTTATTTGGATGGGGTCTTGTTTAATTAATGAAGAGAAATGAGTCAACATAATGACTGAGTAATAGTAAAGGCAGTGTTGATGATCAAGTGAGTTTTACGCATAGATGAAATTCTAAAATGCTATAATAATTATTGTCTTTATACTTCAAACACTATAATTATTTTTTTAAAAAAAAAAATTCTTCTGACATCCATCCATCCAGCAAGCCATCAGTAAAAATTTCTGCCTCCTTATATCGCTTTCTTCCTTCCTTTGTTCTTCACTTCTTTTGGTCAAAAGAAGATGAGTTGTCTTCCCAGTCTCATTCCCAGCCATTTTGTACGGCAGTAAAGTAAGAGGTAATTGCAAATTTGTTTCTTATAACAGAGATCCTGATCCATATACTCAATTATGTATATAGGAAGGAAATGAAACGACACGTGTTTATATTCATTAAGATGAGCATGAAATTGGAATCAGATAATGAAACACACGCAAGTGTATGTGTATGCATGTGCGTGTGTGTATATCCTTAAGCTACCATTGGCAGCACCGAAAAATGTTGTGTTGTTGCAACAGAACGGTTGATTTGCAAGTTGACACGTTACAGATATATCAGCCTCCAAAGACGGACGCACACGTACACTCTACTTCTTTTGCTTAATATAAGGATCAGTTTGACTTTTAATTAGTTTTAAATATAAGATTTTAATATACTTTATTTCTCATATTTATTTGTTTTTTATAATTCTCATAATAGTTACACATATTAAATGTTTAATCAAATGACACTTGATTAACAACGGTATTTTAGATAAGAGAACATCTAAGCTATTTATTACCCCAAAAAAACTAATTAACAAATTTTTATGATCTACTCAAATTAGTTAATTAGTTTTTGTATTAAGAACGTGAACTAGTATATATTTAACACCGACACAAGCCAAATGCCACCGCTCGTCGCCATCTTGTTTCCATATGTATGAACTCATTTTCCTGTCCTCTTCTTACCTTTCTTGCTTTTAAGCAGGCATTAGTTATCCCCGTGCGTACTACTTGCTTTCTCTTCTTTCATTTAATTTTTGCTTTTTCTTATTTCTAATATTTGGCATTATTATATATTGGACGTTGCTGCAGTGTTCCTTGTTGAGTCTAGGCTATCTCTGTAATATTTGATGGAACATATTAACACCCCCTTGCGAATTCGGAAGCATGATCAGTTACGTGTCTTTCATGACCACACAAATATCTTTTTTGGACGTTTATCCATAATTAATGTTAGACAGTAACGTCGATGCAATATGATAGGACTTCACTTCCTTTTTAAGTCTTGCATTTTTCCTCTGAAAACCACTACAAATATCTAGTTTTGGTCAAGAATTATTATTATTACTTTTTTGTGTGTATTTGATGAGATATTCACACCGCAAAATTAGATGCAGAAAAATTTTGTTGTTTTCTTTTAACGTTGTCTTTATCTTTCCTTTGTACATTAAAAAATAGGTTCAGAAAATACAAGTATTTGCGTATTAATCATTTTCACTCTATATTGTTAACCTTTTTTTTTGGGCAATGGGCCCCATATGTTGTGCGAGGAATGATACAAGATGGTTTATACTTTTTTTTTTGGCCAACAAAGAAGGTTTATACTATTCTTGGTTTTAATGTGAAATTTGTGAAGAAGAGGAAAAAAAAAAACCCTCAACGTTAATATTATTATTGACTTGATTAATTTTTCTAGCATATGATCATTCAAGCAATTATTGGCAGCTATTTCTACATTGATATGATCGCCAGCTGTAATTTTCTTGTCTCTTTTTTAATTCTTGGTCTCTTGTAGTGGTTGGAGGAAACGACTCGGTGTGCCATTTCTCTGGGATAAATTTTTCATTTGAAAAAAAATCAGCGGTCCGAAATATTTGATTTTTTTATATTTGATTTTATTTCAAAGGTACATAAAAAATAAATGAAATATTATGTTTTTTTCCATACAAACATATTTATGTCTCCGATTGTGTTGTAAAGATTATAATATTACATTCATTTTTATATTTATTCAAAAAATTAATATTTTCATCATAATTTTGAACAAAAACTTTAGAGATATTTGTACCATCCTGGTGCCCTAGATTTTTCTCCACATGGATAATGACTTGAATATATACACAGAACTAGCGTTCTGCATTCTTCCCTTAAGCCTTGTGCCGTTCATCCTTCTGCAAAATTAGCATCATCAAAACCCCTCAATATATACTTAGAATAATCACCAATGGCTTTTCTGAATGCCACTTTTAACTTGTATCTCCTGGGCTTCGTCGCCTTCTTGTTCGTGTTGATTAAACTTACAAGACCAACAAAAAAGAAACCCAATCTGCCTCCATCTCCGCCGAAATTGCCAATTATCGGCCATATTCATCAGTTAGGCACTCTTCCTTATCGTTCTTTCAGAGACCTCTCTCTGAAACACGGTCCTCTCTTGTGGTTACAGCTCGGTCGGATTCCTGCTTTACTGGTCTCTTCTGCAGATTTGGCCAGAGAACTGATGAAGAACCAAGACGCAGTTTTTTCTGGCAGGTTTCAAAGCATATCTGCCAGAACCTTACTCTATGGATGTAAAGATATCGCCTATGCCACCTATGGCGAAAGCTGGAGACAGAAAAGGAAGATTTGCGTGCTTGAACTTCTGAGCCTGAAAAGGGTTCGATCTTTCCGGGTCATAAGAGAAGAAGAAGTTGCAGAAATGGTGAAGGAGATACGAAGAGCTTGTTTGAGTGATACTAATTGCTCTGTGAACATAAGTGACCTCATATCTGCCACCACCAACAACATAATATTCAGATGCATAATTGGACAGAAGTATGATATATCAGAGAGCAGTGGGAGATTTGGGACGCTTGCGAGGAAGGAGATGATTCATCTTGCAGAGTTGATGGTGGGAGATTTCTTTCCTTGGTTGGGTTGGCTTGATGTTCTCACTGGGAAAATTCAAGAGCTTAAAGACACGTTTAAAGCCATGGATGGGTTCTTTGATGAGGTGACCGAGGATCATAAGAAGGTGATAAAGAAGGACGATGAGAAGAAAGACTTTGTGGATATTCTTCTTCAACTTCAACGGAGCGATAAGCTTGAATTCGAACCCACCCAAAATGACCTCAAAGCCATCCTAACGGTCTCTTTCTCATCGATCCCTCTCAAAATATCTGAGCTTAGTGTTAATAAGGCATTAAGGCTTATCTCTTTTAGCCATTTTCTGTCAAGTTATTTAATATACATATATATATGGTGTTTGAAGCTACTAATGAACATGAAGATAAGTTTAACTGATGAATTAATTTTTGCATTTGGATGTTTATGTAATTTCAGGACATGTTTTTAGGAGGGAACGAGACTACATCGACGACGCTGGAGTGGATTTTAACAGAGCTGTGGAGAAATCCAAGAATCATGAAGAAGGCGCAACAAGAGGTGAGAAAAGTGGTGGGTTCCAAATCAAAAGTGGACGAAAGTGACATAAACGAAATGAAGTACTTGAAACTTGTCATCAAAGAAGCTCTGAGATTACACCCACCGGCTCCTTTCTTGATCCCTCGAGAAACGGTCTGTGATGCAAAACTAGGAGGCTATGATATTCCTTCCAAAACACTGATATTTGTGAACATATGGGCAATCCAAAGGGACCCAGAAATATGGGAAAATCCTGAAGATTTCATCCCAGAGAGATTTGAGAAGAATCAGATGGATTTCAAAGGACAAGACTTTGAATTCATCCCATTTGGTTCTGGGAAAAGGACATGTCCTGGTGTGGCCTTTGGACTTGCTTCAGTTGAGTTCCTGCTGGCCAATCTTCTTCACTGGTTTGATTGGAATCTGCCTAAAGATGGTTCACCCGAGTGTGACATTGATATGAGTGAGACGTATGGGCTCACAGTGAAGAAGAAAGTCCCTATTTGTCTTCAACCTATACCGCTCTCGCTCCAATCTCAATCTGCTTAATTTGCTCTCTATCATGTCTTGTGCAAATACTTGTGATTTGTTTATGAAGTTAAGTGGTATAGGACTAAATAAATGAGTCTGATTTGTGGATGTAATATTGTATCAGGTTTTATCTTCCTAGAAAAATACTACGTGCAGGGCAGAATAAATGAGTACGAGCATGATCAGTGGTTGTTGATTCTGTGTTTGTTTTTGTGCCATTCCCTCTCTATCCCATTTTGTTAGCCCAGTTTTCAAATTTGTGTTCAGGGTCCAATAATATAAAAGTGAAAAACGAACCATCAGTAACCAGCAGTCATCAAAATATCTCTATATGCACAGAATTTCCATAAATTTCAGCTTTGATTATTTGTGGGAGTGTCTTTCAGTCCAAGCAATAATGATATAATTAATTGGAAAATTGATGATTATATTAATTGAATGCATTGGCGCATTAATACGTAAGTAATAACCAGACAAAACCTGGAATATCATCAACAAATAGCTTCTCATGACAACCACATATAGTGCACCATGTGAAGAAGATAAGATAATGGAAGCTTGTATGATAACGAATCTTGAAACTTCATTCGAATTACAGGCAAAATACTAAGTCGAAGACGAAGAGTAATTTTTTCTTTCTGAGTTGATTACTTAGGGCCTTAAGTCCTTATGAGGTATTTTAGTTTTAAAAAATGATTTTGCGGACTACTGTTTATCATTATTATCCCTTAAATATAATAAAACAAGTTCTTAACCCCCACCCCCAATTTAGACAGTTCTCATCTCACTTTTTCTACACACGTTATCTCAGTGCGCAAGTTTTTTGTAAGACGAATAGTTTCATGACAGTAACCGTTTCTACGGGTAACATAAGATTTCAAAGGTCAAAGTCTAGTGCGTCCTCGAACTCTAGTTTTTTATATTTCAGATATTATTTATTATCATATCCTAAATATTACCTAGTGGAGAATTCATTGAAAGTCCCTAATTAAAAAATTAACTATGCAAATTAGGTACTTTTCAACGTTGTTTAAAGATTCATCAGCAACCCTTTTTTTGGGGCACCTTTTTTAAGTGGGATAAAGTGCTTAAATATTCTGGAAATATACATGAAAGAGCACCCAACACATGAAAGTTTTTTTTGGTTCTTATATGTTCTGGAAATTTTAATAGCATTTTGGCCCTGAACTATTATCTGTTATAAAGTTTGACCATTAAATAATGGTCAAACTATATAATTTAACGGTTAAACTTAACAGCGGATAACGGTTAGAATATTTTTGTTACAAAAATAAACTTATCAAAGCATATAAGAACTAAAATAAACTTTTAGATATTGGGTGCTACTTCATGAATACTTCTGAAATATTTAAGCACCTTATCTTTTTTTTTTTTTTTAATTGTATGGATCTTAATCTCCGACCATATGGAAAACGACATTGCTCATGGTTAAAGATGAGTTGCACCCAGCTGAGTTCATGGGTATCTTTATACTAAGTTTTTAATTAAGGACTTTTGACCAATAATTTTTTCAAATATTTAATAGAAAAGTTACTAAAGCTAGAGATAAATAACTTCGTCGAGTTAAAAACTTAAAATCGTCACCCATGATGTGCTCTGCCGAATAATTAAATGGATCAAAGTTTGTAATATACATGTACGAAAAATCTTATGAGCAGATTAGCATTGGATTCTTGATGTCATTGTAAGGGTCAATTTTAATCATTCCAATTTTTCTAAGCTTATAAATATGACATTATGTTGTTGGCCGGAATGAATTATGTGAATGGTAGCTCTCTTGTAATATCTTTTATATTGTATCGTGATGATGTCAGTTGGCAATTAAAAATTAATAATAATATCAACAGTGGTTATCAATATAATTATTGTTAATATAAAATATAAAATCTATAATAAATAAAATTACTCATAAATCGTCAAGAGCTTGTCCTATTTTTTAGTTAGGCACCAAACTTCCCAAACTATGTCTATTTTGAATGCAGTATAATTTTCTTTTGTCGCATTAGAATGTAAAGTTCTAACTGTTGTTACAAAACCTGAAACTGATGAGACAAAACTATTCTCCTCAGAAAATAAAATAGAGAAGAGGGGATAGAGCGTCTGAACCGGGTCGGTTCCAATTTGAATTATCAAAACTCTACCGGGCAAATAATTGAAGTTTAAGTAGGGTCTAAACTGCTAAACTTTAATCAGGGTGCACAACAAATAGCACCACCTAGGGCTAGAGAGAGAGAAAAGAAAAAACAGAGAAAACCGAAGAACTCAAAAATTAGGGCTAAAAAGACACTCTTATGTATAGTTTTAACTTTGAAGTCACAATATATATTAGGATGGTGTAATTTCACATATTTTCAGAAGTCTTTTCGTAACATATTTCAAATGTCAAGGAATAAAAGAAATTAACGATATCGCAATAAATATAATATCAGTTAATAATTAAATGGGTTAATTAATATAAATTTTAGTCCTTCAAGTTTACACTCATTTTGATTTTAGTCCCTCAAATTTCAAAGTATAGGTTTTGGTTCCTCAAGTTTCTTTTCATTTAAAATATTGGTCCCCATAATTCAATAAAAATTTGGACCATTTTACCCATTTAAGGACCAACACTTATAGTTTGAAATTTAAGGGACTGAAACCAAGATGAGCGCAAATTTGAGAGGTCAAAGATTGTATTAATCCTAATTAAATTCTTGATTTAATTTATATTTTAATTAGAAAAATATCAATTAAAATAACTTAGCATATAATGGCAGACTCAACTCCAGTAATTATCATTTCTCTTCTCTCAAAAAAAAAAACATTAATTCTTTATGTTACTTTATTTTGTTAATCATCTCATAGATTTGTCTCAGAAGAGTTATTTAAGCAAATTCTATTTGCTTAACTTTAAAAGTTTAAAGGGAAACCATCGGTACCCATGAGAAATATTGTTGTATTTTTAATCTGTTAAAAAATTAAAAGAAAAATATTTGCAGACTTTTTTTCCTTCTTTTTTGGAAGGGCTTGGCTTGTCCTGCTTTTCAGTACCAAAAGGTTGAGAGAAATCAAATGGCTCTACTTTCAACTGTCAGGCACTACTTTCCCTTGGAGCTAAGCTCCCTGCTCTTAGCACTTTCATGCTTCATCGTCACCGTCCTGTTTTTGTTCACTCTCAGAACTAGAACAAGTAAATCCAAGTTGAATCTGAATCGGATTCCGTCGCCACCAAAACTACCCATAATCGGAAATCTTCATCAGATGGGCTCCCTTCCACACCGTTCTTTTCGAACTCTCTCCGAAAAATATGGACCTATTATGTTTTTACAGTTGGGTCAGATTCCAACTGTGGTGGTTTCTTCCGCAGAATTGGCCTCCGAAATTATGAAAACCCATGACCTTGCCTTCGCTGATCGACCTCAGGGTATTGGTCCTACGCTCTTACTCTATGGATGTAATGACATTGGCTTTGGGAACTACGATGAAAAGTGGAGACAGAAGAAGAAAATCTGTGTCAATGAATTTCTTAGCCTGAGAAGGGTTCAATCCTTCAAGAACGTCAGAGAAGAAGAAGCTCGGGAGTTAGTGAATAAGATCCGTGCTTTGTGCTCGACAGGTGCGGGTTCTGTGAATTTGACTGACTTGCTTATTGCTTCATCAAATAATATCGTGTCTAAGTGTGCTCTTGGGGATCAGTTTAACACTGAGGCAAATACGAGGATCGGAGAGCTAGCGAGAAAGGTGATGATCAACCTTTTGGCTTTCAGTGTGGGAGATTATTTCCCTTCATTTCGATGGGTTGATGTTCTCACTGGTCTGGTACCGAGGTTAAAGGCCATCTTTAGAGAGTTAGATGATTTCTTTGAAAGCGTCATTGAAGAACACAGGAGCATGATGAAGAAGACAAGGGATGACCAATTCTCCATGAGGAAAAACTTGCTCGATATTCTCCTTCAACTCCTAGACGACGGCATGCTGGGCGATAGTTTCTCCCAAAACGATCTCAAATCCATCCTAATGGTTGGTCTCTCTCTTTCTGTCTCTTCTTGTTTTATTCTGATATTCTATTCCAAGTCAAAGCCCCTTTGGATGATTCTCCAGGTATTCAAATCCTGGGGTTGTGTATTAACGGAACGAATGATTCGTTGTGATAGATTAAAAATTCTTGATATATATATATATATATATATATATATATTGTAGGATATGTTTGTGGGAGGAAGCGACTCAAGTTCAGCAACAATGGAGTGGGCCATGGCGGAGCTGGTGATGAATCCCACGAAAATGCAGAAAGCCCAGGAAGAGGTAAGACGCGTAGTGGGGAACAATTCAAAGATCGAAGACGAAGACATAAATCAAATGAATTACTTGAAATGTGTGGCGAAAGAAATTCTGAGATTGCATCCAGCAGCGACTCTCATTCCTCCTCGATTATCCAGATCAAGTGTGAATCTCGGAGGGTACAATATTCCAGCTAAAACAACGCTGTACATAAACGCATGGGCAATTCAAAGAGATTCTGATTTCTGGGAAAGACCTGAAGAGTTCATTCCTGAGAGATTTGAGCAGAACGATGTTGAATTCAAAGGGAAAAACTTCCATTTCATACCGTTTGGTTCAGGAAGAAGAGGATGTCCTGGAATGATATTTGGGGTTGCTGCTGTGGAATCCATGCTCGCTAATCTCTTGTACTGGTTTGACTGGAAGCTGCCTACTGTAAATGGCGTCACTGTTCAACACATGGATATGGAGGAGACGTTCGGGCTAGTTGTGAGTAAAAAAGTACCTCTGTATCTTCAACCAATACCCCACTATTAAATAATTCAGAACCATATATATGAATGAGATGACCATTTTGAGTGTGTTTTCATGTTATGACTTGTCATGGAAGATTGTGCTAATATTTAGAAATGATGTAAAATATATATACCATATATCTGTTTGTAAGTATATATGAAGTGGAAGTTTGCGTCCGGGAGACTGTGAGATGGTACTTGTAGTGATTGTTCAATAAAAAAGTTGTGTATTGGTTAGTGATTGAAGTGGACGAATGTCTCATTCTCAGGCTGATTATATTGATATATAATGGGATAATATAATATCACTTGGGTGGCGTTTGGAAACTGGAAAAAACAACCTCAATTTCCCTATATGAACAACTTGGCAATTACTATTCTTGACAAGGTATAGATATTATTCTCATATAAAAATTTGCATTAAAATTAAAAATATACGGAGAAGAAGATTAATTTCCCAGGAAAATGTAACCATAAAGTTGTCATTATTTTCACATTTCACTGCAAAATAACAAAAGTAGTAAGCTAAATGATAAGAGCGACAAGTGAAATAACAATTCTGTCATTGAGTTTCTCATGAAATTAAGTTTCATGAAAAGTTGATATTATTTCCATTTTTTTAAAGACTCGAATCCAAAGTAAAAGATCTACAGAGAAAAGAGGAAAGTTTATACTAGAAAATGTCATAAGAATCTCATAACACTCACTAATAAACCAATGGAGAATCTCCAACTTAGGAAAAATACTGTGTAATATTTGATGATCTATTCATGTGGCCAATGGCCTATTTATAGCTGAATTAAATAGATAAAGCAATTAAACAAAGTTTGCAAATTAATGAAAATAGAAGGATAAAATCTAATCCTACTTGAGTGGATAATGCCACTTATTTCTCAACTGAAAGCAACAGAAAATAATTCAAAACAATTCAAAATAGAATCAACTCATAATCTCTTGATTTTCTCTGACACATTTCCTTGGATAAGTCAGCAACAATTTATGGGTCCTAACAATATTTCATTACCAAACGACAAAAGTGGTAAGCCAAATAACAAGAGAAGTAAGCCAAATAGCAAGTTTAATAAGCAAAATTACAAGACAATGGGTTTCTTATTAACTTTAGAACATTCAATAGATCTACCTTGTTACCATTTAGAACTAATAAATACAAAACGTTAACATTGTTCTACCTGTAAACAAAAGACTAACATTTCCAGATCTTCATGTCATCTTGCTGTCATCATAATAACAAGTTTGCGGTTACAACACTATTAGGCAAAATTACAATAATAGTAAATCAAACAATAAAAAATCAGGGGTGCTTTGACAGCAACCGGTTTCTGCAATTAGCCATTTGAATTTGAAAGATTGATAGAAAATTAGGTTTGAAAAATACTATGAAGTGACCAGCAAAAGATAGGAAAATCATGTTTGAATTTAATATAATTTTATTCCATTAGCTCAATCATTTACATATGAAAATTTAAACTAACAGCCTCTTCATTACCAGGTTGACATTAGAATTTTATAACTTTAGCATTCAAAATGATAACATTCTAATTCACTCCCTTCACTATAGCCCCTGAAACTTCATACTCAAATCAACAACTATTATCTCTTTCCATTTTCCCTCTCACACTTTGCCATTCCTCACATCATAACCCCTCTCCATCGTAACCAAACCCACATATATCATACATGAACAATCAGATTAGAAGAACAAAAATATACCTTAAACTAACCACAACCTCCTCCAACTAACATCTTCCATCATCAACTTCACCTCTCACTCCTTCCCAAACTATAACACCCGGTAATTGACAATGGAACTCACAAAATTGAAGAACAATATCACATTGCTCAGTCTCAGATGGAAGAATAGAAGGAGAGTGTAGTTAGAAACATTACCCACTTGATTCCTAGGCTTAGAAGCTACAAAACACATCGTCCCTTCCTTCTCTTCTTGCTCTTGCCATGAATTATTTTATGTTTGCCTCCATAAATGGTTTTCAATAACATAGGGGTATTTTAGTCTTTTAGGCATGATTTGTTAATTGCAATTTAAGATCCGGTTCTTCCAAGCAATTAAACTTATTTAAGTACCCATTTCATCATTTTGTTAATTCAAGGATCTTTTATTGCAATTTTCCCAAAATAGTTGGCTGACATGTGGGATTAGAAATGTCTGAGTTGTAGCATTCTCAACACAAATAAGCTGGTGCTGCTAGAGCACCCAAGAATTTCTCGTGAGGAGGAAGCTAATGTTAGCTAATAGTGTGCACGTGGTGACGGGAAGGAATCAAACTCAGCTGCTGACTCACTCTCTCTCTCTATATATATATCGCATAATAATGATTGGTGACTAGAGTTTAGAGAGAAAAAGTTAAGAAGAATTAAGCAAGAAAAAAGTTAATAATCTGAACGAATGCAAGTAAATCAATCTATTCATGTTAATAGGATAGCCCAATAACTCTAATGAATGCAAATTAACCCCCACAACTAATTACAACAATAAAATGGGATGGTGTTAACCTAAATAGAAAAGAATAAGGAATTATCCTAACTATGAAATCCCAAAACAGTTCACACGTACACACACAAAAACACGCACAGGGTTAAAATTAGAATAACATTCTCTCTTAATATGTGTGTGTGTATATATATATATATATCTGTGTGTATTTAAAGTTTCATACAAATTGATACAATAAAATATGTTAATATCAGAATATGACCAATAATGTATTTTTATTATTTTTTATTTTATAACCACTTTCAGCATTTTCTTCCACATCTCATAATAATTTTGTTCAATGAATAATTAACAGGCATCTAGTCACATGGTTTCTAGCCATATTATAGACATTGCTCATGTATTTTATTGGGAAATTTGGTTAAAAGTCTCTGTTTGAAAACTTAATTGGCTAAAATGGCCTAAATTAATTTAAGTGAGTATAACTATAATCTGTGAATCCAATTTTTCTTCTACCACGTGCAATATATCATTAATGATGTACAACAATCATTAATGTGAAAGTCATTTGCACACAGCAGAAGCTATGTTACATAGAATGAAAGAAAAATTACACTCATGAATTATGGCGTATGGCATTGGATTCTTAAGATATATATGATCTAAAATTTTTGTTATTTACGCATGAAACTAGATTAGATGTTCCTCTAGTTATTTACCTGATTCGTTGATTCTATTGGTTAGAGTGCGTTGTCGCTTGTGAATGAGTCTGTGCTTTAAATTAAGTAATCTATACACACACACAAACAAATATATTCTTACAATATTAATTTGGCGAGTCAACTTAGTTGACTCGCTTCCCACCTTGAAATCATTATTGACATATTCAATTTCATTATGGACAACCCAAGGTTCAATAATTGAATCAAGCATTGCATTTATATGGTCAGCTGATGGTTAAGATTAAGCGTTTGAAATTAAGAATATGGATAACATATTAAAAAGTTACCTTAGTCGAAGGTAATCCATGCATGAGATTAATTAAATTATAGATAAAAGCAATGCATAGGATAGGAGGCAGTGCGGCATTGCAAACAAAAACTTGTGTATTTTGCTAAAAAAAATTAATAGATACACAACTTTAAATAAATGTGTTAAAAAACTTAAAATTATGAAATTAAAATTTTTTAATTAAACAAGATTGAAACTATGAATATACAAGTATTAAAATTCTTTTTTAGGACATAAGTATTTAAAAAGTTTTAAAATAACATTTTTTGGTCCAAATCTTATCAGCAAAATTAGGTTGTTGGGTTCTTACCCACCTCTAAAGAGGGCGGGCTCTTTATACCACTCGAATATTTATTATTTATAAGAGTTTCTTGTATACTAAAAAGAGCATTAAATAGATTAAAAAAATTTTATTTTTATTGTTATTAAAGAGACATATGTGTAGAAAAATAATAGTATACTTTCTCTCACTCATTCCTTCTCTCTTCATTTTTACTATAGTAGAATTAAAAATGAAACACTAAAAAGGATATAATTGACAAAAATAAAGAACCACAATTTCCTCTTATAAATAACAAATAATCACCCGGGTGATATTTTATATGCATTTGTAAAATTTTTTATTAAATTATAAAATGATAGTACAGTTTAATATTTTTATATTTTTTAACAAATAAAAATTATGTCAAAAAATGTTGGCATCTTTCAAATTTTTAGGCCGTCAGAATTTTGATCTAATAGGTAGAGCTGGTAATAAGGGTTGAGTCCATGGGCTCAACCTACCAACCTGCCAAGAAGTGGGGGTTGAGTTGATGAAAATCAAGTTCATTTTAAAATGGATCTTTTAAGCCTATAACCGCCAAGACTGAACCCGTGGCGGGCTAACCCGCAAGGTTGGCAGACCGACTCATTTTATTTTATTTTTATTTTTATTTTTTAAAATTTTTTCCTCCCTCAAATATAATTATGTTTACTCCCTTGGTCCCGTATCTCATTCTTATTATTTAAAATTACCATAAATAATTTTTTTATACTTTGTATTATGAATTTTACTTGTGACAAAGTTAGCTAAGCAAAAAGAAGGTGATTTTACTTATGAAGCTTAACCAAATAATTTCACATCTTCATATCATTTTTCAAACTATATCAACATTAAATGGTAGCTCATGGTTGAGCACTTGATAGTGATTTGTAACATTGTGTTTGTATTATTATTAATTTAGATTTTTTATGTTTTAATTTGGGATGTATGTTTAATCATTTAGGATGATATATCATGTATATATGCTTATACTAGTATTTTGAAATGTTTGGAACTTTAGATTTCATATTTTATTTATAATAATTTCTATATGCATATTTTATTTTAGATGTTTAAGAATTAGAATAAATTTTATTAAAAGACAACAAAAGGCACCCAAAAAATTTTAAAAAAAAAAAAGAAAAGAAAAAAGGTGGCCGGTTGGTGGGCCTAACTCGCCAACCCATCCTGACGGGCTGGATTGGAAAAATATCAACCCACCAAAAGTTAGTCTTTTTAAGACTGGCCTGTCAATCCTTGAGCCTGACACGGGCCAACCCATAACTAATGGGTTGGCCCATATTACCGGCTCTACTAACGGGGCCATCCAACTGCCTAGATTAGGTACCCTTTATGTCAGCCTTCTTGAGCCATTGATATTCCTCCGCGCACATGGCAGACAGTTTAATGATTTCAATAATATTGTATTTTTAAAAATAGACAATAATATAATATACAAAAAGATATTTAAAAAAAATACAAATACTGATATAGAAACTATAAGAATATTTTTGTCTACTCTTATCGTATTGAGGTTATTAATTTTTTACAGAAGGGTTGTGATCCTACACACCCCTTCAAAGACGTTGATGAAGCTAGATTACTTTTTTTTCAGGAATCTGCAGGTGACAATTAACTACACTCAGAGAAAATAATTCTGTAGCTGATCACTTTGTCAAGTTATCACATAGGATAGAAGGGAATTATTGTATCTTTAATCACATTTCATCTTTCTTAATGTGAGATGGATGTTGATGAAAGAAGCCTTCTTTTTCTGTTCATAACCTTGACTTTGTTCTTTTGTGATTAATAGATATACAGTTTCTATTAAAAAAAAAAAGAATAAAGACAAACTGAAATATAAATTTTATATATAATCATAACTAAATATTTTTCCCTCGATCTTTCAATACGAGAGAAATGATAACCAAATCAAGCGGTTAGTTAAAAAAACATTATACTTATCTTTCTTGCATTTCAATAGACAAGTATTGAAAGGAATAAAAACAAAGGAACTCGCGCGGTTGCATGATTAAAAACATGCAGGAAAAATTAAAAATATGAAAATAATGCATGAAACTGAAAAGAATTATCATATTTATTTGTATAATTTATAAGCTATAAACTGTATGATCCTCTCTATACTATTGATATTTTATAAAGGTATTAATAATTTTTTAGTATTTTATAAATACATCAACATTAAAAGTTATAATTCGTTAGATCTCAGTGTGTTAGAATTTTACCATGAAATTGACCGTGAAGAGCCGTAGGTACGTAGCTGGTGGTTCTCAAATGAAATGAAAAATTACCGCTAAATAGTTATGTTATTTTTTGTGTGAATTATACTATTTTTTGGGGTCCGATTTTCTTACATTCTAAAAAAAAAAATGACAGAAAAATGACACTTAAATATTAAAATCCCCATCTGGTCAATTAAATAATAAAAATTTTTCTTTGAGCATATATGACCAAATTGAGATTTTGAAGTATGCTTTAAAAGACTGAATTGTCATTTAATTAAAAAAAAATCATCAAGCACTTTCACTGGCTACGGAGGCCAGCAGAGTTTAGGTGGGCTGCCAATCTCTCCTAAGCCTGGTTGTCGGACGATAACCGATTGCCAAAGCTTTGGCGGCTGACAACTATTTTGTTAGGGATTTTTTCAAGTCCATTAACATGATTAAGATATTCTTATTAACAAGTTCGGTATAATAGTTAATAATGAGTTTTTCAAAAAAATTCAAAAAGTAGTATTTTTACAACTTTAGTAACGTATTTAACAAGTCATATAACTATATTAATAACTCTTATAACACTATTAATAACTCTCATAATAAATCATATAATGATATTAACAACTCTCATAACCATAACCATAATGAATGTCTAATAAATGGGAAAAATTTTGCTATACAATCTTCCTAGGGAGCTAATATTAAAAATATCAAGCTTTATAGGAAAATTTTATTAATAGTATTATAAGAGTTGTTAATATTGTTATATGACTTGTTAACCTTATTATTGAAGTTGTAAAAACGTAATTTTTTGAATTTTCTGCAAAACCTCTTGTTAATTGTTATACCAAACTTATTAATAGTATTAACAAGACTTCAAAAATTTCCTATTTATGGCATAGAACTAATCTCTCAAAATATAAAAAGCTCTTTGATCACATGATTAATGGCGTTATAAGAGTTGTTTATAGTTACATGACTTGTTAACTACATTATTGTAATTGTAAAAATACTACTTTTTAAATTTTTTAGAAAACTTATTATTAACTGTTATAATAAACTTGTCAGTAGTTTTAAAGAACTCATTAATCATGTTACTAGATTTGAAAGCATCCAAAAAAGAAAATAGTTACAGGTGATCGGTCGTTGGCCTAGCGCGACAGTCGGTGACTCACCTGAAGTTCGACGGTCGCCATCAAGACTGGAGCTCTGGCTACCAGCTAGTTAGTGAGAGTGCTTGATGGTTTTTTTATTTCAAAAAGAATAAAGAACAATTTGATCTTTTTAGCAAATTTTAAAATTCCAATTTGTTCATATATGCTCAAAAGAAAATGTTCATTATTTAAGTGCCCAAATGATAATTTTAATATTCAAATGTCATTTTTCTGTCTTTTTTTCTTTTTACATATTTTTATTAATATTAAAATTCTGTATTGGCATATTGAAACACTGACTGAACCGTTTAGCAAGTTAAGTGTGAAAGAGTCTGCCCGCTAATTTCATCAAATAAAATACAGTGAGTCAAACCACCCAAAGATTTTGGATAAGATTTGGGTTAATTCCACTAGTGTCAATCTTGTCCTGACATGCATCATGTCTGAATGAAAACCACATAAAAATGTCAACTTGATTATACATACTCTTTCATTTAAAATGTAATAAAATAGTAATATTATTTTTTTTAAAAATTAGCGTAAATAATCTAAAATGAAAATAATTTTTTAACACATTGCAGGAGCTATCTATTCCATCGGGGAGATGGCAAGCGGAACGCACCCAAAGTCATAGGCAATGACTTTTCCGAGCTACCACATTCACGCATGCCGCGGAAGGTCATATGCAGTTTCCCCGATCTACCTGTTCAAGCGAGTGCTATATTAGTTTTTCAAAAAAAAAAATTTAAACAAATTATTGGCTGAAAATTTTAAATTTAAATTATTAAAATTGTATCTAAATGATACAGATGTCACCATGATGATAAGTATCATGGTTTAATAACTGCAATATGAGTATTGAAACTGACTCTCAATCTGTTCTAATTCTTTTTGATCAAGATCTATTATCAAGTTAAGTAAGCCAACATAGAGGTTAAGTGAGAAGCCAACAATCAGGTCAAGAAAGAAAAGAAAAAGTTTTTTTCGCTTGGTAAGAAATTAGTTCATAATTCACAATTCACAATGTCATAAGTTTGAATCCTGATGTGATAATCTTGTTCGTAGGTAATATATAAGTATCTTTATAAGTGTTTTTTAAACCTGAAAGTATGTCCCGTCTCTGATGAGCCCTTAAGATTCAGCTTACCTAAATTTATTTTACCTTCCAAAAAATATATCAAGGGAGCAAGATCACATGATCAGCTTGACAATTTTGGATATTTTGGCATAATCACATGATGAGTTGACACTTGACAATTTTGGTTATTTTGGCAATTTTTTAACTAATCTCTATATTATTTTGTTAATGGAATGCATTACGTAATAGCATACTAATACAAACAAAACGCCTCCATCGGTACTAATAATGACATTACAACCAGAAAAATTAAAGGAACTAATTAAAAGATTAATATAATCTTTTTTCTTTTTTTTATCAGAGAAATATAATCTTAATATTACTAGCCACACACTCCAACAAGCGAGGCGGATATGATATGATATGAGAGGATATGGTTGGCCTCTAGAAGAATCGAATAATCCATGACCGATTTTAGTAAGAACTCACCCAAATTAAATCAAGACGCTGTCCTGATGGGAAGGTTTTAGGGATGTTTAGATTATCACGTAATTTTGTGTTATACAAAATAAATAAGTTAGATGGGTATTATCTAATAAATTTAGTTACAAGTGCTTTTTTTAAATCTTAATTATGAGAAATTATCTAGTGTATTGCCTTTTGAATTTTAAATATCATTAACTTAAATAACTGGTCAAAACTTAAAAATCATGCAAAAAGAATATTTGAAAACCTGTGCAATGAAATTTGAAAACTTGCGATCACGTGATGAAACTTAAATACTCAATACACTAATACCCATCCCTCCATAAATATCACTATCGTCGACTTCCCAACACTAAAAGTTGTGAGAGAAATCACCATGGCTCTCTTCTCCCTCGTCAAACACTACTTTCCCTTGGAGTTAAACGCCCCGCTCTTATATTTTCCATGCCTCGTCATCCTTGTCCTGTTTTTGTTCAATCTCAGAACTAGAACAAGTAAATCCAAGTCCAATCTGAATCTGCCTCCATCCCCACCGAAGCTACCCATCATCGGAAATCTTCATCAGCTAGGCTTATTACCGCATCGCTCTTTTCGAACCCTCTCCAAAAAATACGGACCTCTAATGTTCTTACATTTGGGTCAGGCTCCAGCTGTGGTGGTTTCTTCCGCACAATTGGCCCGCGAATTTATGAAAACCTATGACCTTACCATCGCAGACCGACCCCAAGGTATCTGTCCTAAGATCTTGCTCTATGGATGTACTGACGTTGGCTTTGGGAGCTACGGTAGTGAAAATTGGAGACAGAAGAAGAAAGTCTGTGTCAACGAACTTCTTAATCTGAGAAGCGTTCAATCCTTCAAGAGTGTCAGAGAAGAAGAATCTGGGGATTTGGCGAATAAGATACGTGATTTGTGTTCGAGCGGTGCAGATTCTGTAAATTTGAGCGAGTTGCTGATTGCTACATCGAATGATATCGTGTGTAAGTGTGTTCTTGGGGATAAGTTCAACACGGATGCGAACACAAGGATTGGAGAGCTAGTGAGGAAAGTGATGATCAACCTGATGGCCTTCAGTGTGGGAGATTATTTCCCTTCATTTCGTTGGGTTGATTCTGTCACTGGCCTCCTTCCGAGGTTGAAGGCCATCTTTGGAGAGTTAGACGATTTCTTTGAAAGCGTCATTGAAGAACGCAAGACTATGATGAAGAAGAGAAGCAATGACCAATCCTCCAATGGGAAAAGCTTGCTTGATATTCTCCTTCAATTCCGGGACGATGGCATTGTTGACCATAGTTTCTCCGAAAACGACATCAAATCTATCCTAATGGTCTCTCTCTCTCTCTCTCTCTCACTCAAACACACACACACACTCTTTAATCCTCCCAGGTATAAGCTTAAGTTTTGATAAGTGAGAAATTTTTAGGCTTTCGGCACTCTGCCGCAAATTAAATTTAGAAAGCTAGTAATTAACATTATGTGTGGTGTAAGCCAAGTTTTTTCTAATCTTGCATCATGGGAATCTTAATCACACATGGATAGGATTCTTTCCTACATTTAATATTCGTCTTGTTGTTCTTCTTCTTCTAATATCTATCCAAATTAAAACAAGTTTCAATTACTGTCAAGGGATATTGATGAATTAAATATTTCTGATACTGTATACATATAGGATATGTTCGTGGGAGGGAGCGACACAAGTTCAGCAGCAATGGAGTGGGCCATGGCGGAGCTGATGATGAATCCAACGAAAATGCAGAAAGCCCAGGAAGAGGTAAGGCGCGTAGTGGGGAACAAGTCAAAGGTAGAAGATGAAGACATAAATCAAATGAATTACTTGAAACATGTGGTCAAAGAAGTTCTGAGATTGCATCCACCAACGGCTATGATTCCTCCTCGATTAACAAGATCAAGATTGAAAGTCAGAGGGTACACTATTCCAGCTCAAACTATAGTGTACATAAATGCATGGGCAATTCAAAGAGATGCTGAGTTCTGGGAAAGACCTGAAGAGTTCATTCCTGAGAGATTTGAGAAGAACGACGTTGAATTCAAAGGACAAGACTTCCATTTCATACCCTTTGGTTCAGGAAGAAGAGGTTGTCCTGGAATGATGTTTGGGGTTGCTGCTGTGGAATCCATGCTCGCTAATCTCTTGTACTGCTTTGACTGGAAGCTTCCTACTGTGAATGGTGCCACTGCTCAACACATAGATATGGAGGAGACATTTGGGCTAACTGTCAGCAAAAAAGTGCCACTTTATCTCAAACCAATACCCTACTGTTAATTCAGAAACCATCTTTATATATATATATATATATATATATATATCCTGGTTAAAAGCTTGATGAATGCTCCATTATGTTTGAGTGTGTTTTTTGTTACGCTGTAAAATAGACAAGGTATGTCTGGAATTTGGTTGTGCGACGTTGAGACTGTGATCCTGCGATTGTACTGTTGTTGAATAATTAAAAAGTACTACCTCCTATAGTTAATATATGGTTTTTATTTTAATCCTAAATATAAGACCTCAGTTAACTTTGTGTCTCATATTTATATACTTTTTCTTAAAGTAGTACTTCTAATAATGGTAGTTCTAACTAATATACTTAATTAATAAGGATATTTTATAAAAGACAATACTATTATTACAAACAACTAACTTAATTTATTTTCTTAATCTTCTCAAATTAGTTTTCTAGCTCTTATATTTAGAACCGAAAATAATAGTAGATTGAACCAACAATTGTTGGCTGAGATGGCAGCAGCCTCGCCTGTAAAAAAAGAACATAAGTTCAAATCTTCAGAAGCACACTTATCAGAAGAGTTATCACAAACCAATTCCCTGTTGTTAAATCAGAAACCATCGTGTGTGTGTGTCCTGGTTAAAAGCTTGACGAATGCTCCATTATGTTTGAGTGTGTTTTTTGTTGCGCTGTAAAATAGACAAGATATGTATGGTTGGAGTTTGGTTGTGCGACATTGAGACTGTGATTCTGCAGTTGTACTGTTGTTGAATAATTAAAAAGTAGTGGATTGACCTTGGTTGAAGAGGCGGGGCCTTATCCTCATAAAAAGATGCATACAAATTTAAATATCGAGAAACGTGTTTATTGTGAGAGCTATTTTTTAACCACTTTAGATTCGAAAGAAATTAATCTTAAGTTTAATATGATTTGGGATGCCCTTGTTTCAACTTAAAAAACAAAAAAAGTAGTAGATTGATTACCCTTACAAAAAAAAAAAGGGTTGCGGATTGATTGGTGGTTGAGTTCGATCAAAACGCCCATCATTCTCAGATTGATTATATCATTATAAAATTGAAGGACCAGATGGAATTGGCGGTTGTGGCATGAAAGAGCAACTTTTTCCCCCCCCCCAAATGTTACATGTAGGATTGAATTCGCCAACTCCCATTAGCAACGTGAATTCCTAAGTACTCCCTCCGATCTTAAATATGATAATCATTTTGTAGTGTAATTTACACTACAAAATAAGTCTTATATTTAAGACCGGAATAGTGTAAGCAACTATTAGTTGTTGATGTTGAGAAGGTCATCAACATTTTTGGTAAAATTGATTGATGGCAAAAGATGATTTTGGTTAGTGACTATGCCCACTTCACATTTACGGTCTGAGAAGGTTTGCTTATTCATTTTCTATATTGGAAATGGATGGTCATGGAAAGTTTGGGTGTGTTGGTGGGGCTTATATGTATTCCCAAGTGCCTTGGTGATGGGTCCTCCAACCTTTTGCTCTCTTGGGATAAGATTTATGGAGCTCCAATAAAATTCTAATAATACCTTATATACTTAATATAAGACCTAATAAATTGATCAATTCAGAAAAATTAAGAAAATTAAGTTAGTTGTTTATCTTCCTAACATTATCCTTATTAATCATGTGTATCTAAATTACAAATTAATAGTAACTCCTTAACACATACAACTATTATAAGGATTACTTGAGAGCAAAAATAGATAAATATTAAAGACAAAATGAATTGGGATCTTATATTTAGTACTACATCCAGTTCTTAATATAAGACCATGTTTTACTTTTATTTTGGTTATAAATATAAGACTCCAATTCACTTTGTCTCTTATATTTACTCAAATTTTTCTAAGATAGTCCTTCTAATAATTATAGTTCTAGTCAATACACTTGATTAGCAAGGATATTTTAGGAAAAACAACACCTATTTAGAACTAATAACTAACTCAACTTATTTTCTTAATCTCCTCAAATTAGTCAACTGGCTCTTATAATTAGGACTGGAGGTAGTATCAAACTAGCTTTTATATTAAAGATTGCAAGTAGTATCTTATTTTAAATGAGAAAACTTGATGCTTCAACTGGTAATGCATTTTATCATGGTACGCAGCAAACACATCACTTAAGTATTTTTTTTTTAAATACATAGTTGTGAGTTTCGAATCTTACATAAAAAAAATATTATGAGTGTTATGAGTCATGATGAAGGAGGAGTGAAGGGAAGGTTTCAGAAAGAGGTGGCTGGGAGTGCCGGGGTGACGAAGGAGTGAAGATGATGACGTTGATGTGGCATATTACTGATGGAATATTACGTGGCACTATATTTTACGTGTCAATGCCATCTTAATATAATTAGATCAACTAAATAACAGTCAAAATAAACCTTACCAACAAGTAAGACAATATTGCTTCGGCAAAATCTTCAAATGAAAACCGTGAGGATAAAAAAGCACCTAAACCCAATTTAAAAGTAAGAAGAGGGAGAATTCGTGAGCATTTTTCGCTGTACGCGTGTCTTTTTCTGGTTCAGTCTTATCCATCTCTGTAATCAATCAGAAATATGGAAGCGACAGATATTTTTACCCCTGCTTTCGTTCTTGCCCTGTGCATTTATCTTTGTCTTCTTTTCTGTGACTGCTGAACGTAAACATGGGGACATGATTGATATGAACCATTAAACGAAGTTGAAGACTTGAAGGATTATTTTTAAGATATTTTAAAAATTTTAAATAACATTCCAAAATAAAATTCTAAAATGAACTAAATTAAAATACAAATATCATATCATTCAAAAATAAATTAAACCACACACAAAATGAAAATGGGAAAAATATATTAATTAAGGGTTAACATCATATTTAGTCTTATAAAATTTGATCTTATTTTGATTTTAGTTCCTAAAATTTAAAATCTATAGTTTTATTTTCTAAAATTTGATTAAATTTTGGTTTTGCTTCTTGAAATTTAAAACTAGTGATATTGGGCCCTAAAATTTAATTTAATTTTTGTTTATATTCTTATTTCAAGAATCAAAATTACTTGCTTGAAATTTTAGGAATCAAAATCAAAATCAAATTAAATTTCAAAGATCAAAACCACCTATTTCAAATTTTATAGGCTAAAATCAAGACGAAATTAACTTTTAGGGACTGCTATTAACCCATTAATTAATCTACCCAGCTATATTAATATTGATTTGTAAATATCATTTAAACTATTCTATCTTATTTTATTATTTGCATTAAACTAACTCTTGGCATCAGGCCAGAATTTTTTCTTTTTTTAGAAATATGTGTTAATTTATATCAATAATGCGATGCCCTATAAAGAAACGGGTGCTTATGCCCATGTCAGTGTCAGGATCTCTTTGGTTACAGATAATGATCGCTGAATGAGACTAATTATTGATTTAGGTTGATCTTCTATAATTAGCTATTCGTGTGGAGTGTGTTGACTAAAAATGACGAAATAAAATTATGTATAAAGTTGATTTTTTATGTAAATGTATTTTAGCTTGGTTGCATATTTTTAGTGTACGATATATAATTAATTTCAAACCACACAGAGCCTGCATTTTGATTAGAAGAGCTGCCGACATGCATGAAAGAAATTCCTACAGAGTAAAATGGGACTTCCTCTGTTCTTTATTATAAGAGATAATTATAAAATATATCATGTTCCTTATTATAAGAGATACTTATAGATTGTCTCAAATTTTGTGTGTTGATGTCCTATTTTATCCCTATTTAATTACTCATATTACTCATATAATTGTATTTAATTCTTATTCATCCTCTCTCCCACACATTATCTCTCTTCCACATAAATGAGGGTATTGTTGGCAAAAATGTTACACTCTTTATATATTTATAGCACCTAACTAATTTTAACTAATTTTTTTAATAATGTGATTTAGTTAATTGTATCTTATAAAATGGAACGGAGGGAGTATTAAAATGATTAGATAATCTTTTGTAGTTTTTCAACAACAACAAAAGTTAAAAAGAAATCATCTTTGGTGGCCTCTGCAGTGCCACGGGGTTCGAAATTGGGACGCGTCTCATTCGCATGCACCTATGAACGGACACGGGACATCATTGAACCAATGACTTTTTTTAAAGGCAGATGGTTGGCCGTATTATAATTGATCAAATCGATGAGCCCCCAAGTAATGTGGATTCATTCAAAATTAGCAAAAAAAATATGAATATTGAGAGAATCCCCATATATGCTGCATGCGAGTGCGACAAGCGAAAACCCAGACAAATTGATCGCCGCATTTAATATTGGCCGTATTTTTTTTCCCCAACAATATTGGCTGTATTATTCTTAATATATTTGCAAGTATTGATGGGTTCAGACTAATCCATGCCTTTTTATATGAAATATTCTCTTTCATAATGATGTTTTTAAATATAAAAAACAAATACTCTTTGTAAAAAATTTTAAACTTGTATTTCACTTTTACTCTAATTAAATATATGATACTTACTATCCATTTGTAATAAATGTCCACTCATTATTTCTCAACCAAAAAAAAATATAGTTATAAAAACATATATCTTACAAGTTTATTATTTTTAATTAAATTTAATTAATATTTTGAACATCAGCAGTTATTTTTCATAATGAAAAAAGGAGGGAGTAATAATTTAATAATTAATGATTCATCATTAACTCTCGTGCGTAATTACCGGTTTTCAATTAAAAAATAATATTAAACTATTTGGTCTGTTCCTATGTATTTGTCCTTATTCCAATTTCTATCTTGTCCTCAGATTTGTTTTTTATCTTTTATATTTATAGAGTTATTTACAGGTTATGAAGTAAACTCTTTATCTTTATCAACTGGACAAATTTTCGTAGGTGTTTAAATTTTTTTTAATTTTAATGAAACATATTAAAAATATCTTATAAATGGAATAAGAAGAATATATAACATTAAAAAAATCAAATACAAAACAAATAAATATATTGGTCCATGACACACACGGCACACGCTGCCGTTGAGGCAAGACGTGACCGTGTGTGTAAATATATAACTAATAAAAGTTAGTTTAGTTAGTGAAGAGTCATCATAAAGTTATGAGTCCAAATTTTACTTATGGGTGATTTATAAGTACCTCTAAACGTGAATGTGTGTTATGATTCTAATAAGCTCTTGAGACCCAAGTCGACTTATAAAATATATATATATATACATACACCCACAAATAAAAAT